CTTGGGCAACTGATTGTTGGCTCCATCTGCTCTCGGGATTTACTAGCTCTGGGTCTGATATGTGTGGATTGCACAGGTAGGAGGGGTCCTGGTGGTACATGCTTCTACCAAGGAGGTGCTGCAGAAACTCTCATTATCCTGAGCTATGCTCAGGAAGAGAATGTGAAGGCAAAGATTATCTAAATTCACTGCTAAGGGTTGCTTGTTCAGTTGCACTTCTTGCTTTATTTAGATTATGCTTACAAATCAGAGGTTGATAAAGATCTTGAGAGCAACAACTGACTACTTAATGCCTTTCCTCCCTAGTAACAAGTTACCAGTAAGCTAGATGTTTGCTATATGGACACAAGTCATGAAGGCTCTGAAACAGGACACTTCCTTTTTTTTTCTCCTCTTCTCTCCAGATTTCTGAGTCCCCTGAATATGCTTATTGGCGGTACTGTGGTGGTGCTGGTGTTCATGGGGTTTGTGTGGGTATCGCACAACAAGGATATACTCCGCAGACTGAAGAAGCAGTACCCAACCACGTTTGTAGTGGTCATCATGCTGTCTAGCTACTTCTTGATCTCCTATCTGGGAGATGTCATGGTGTTCATGTTTGGGATCACGCTTCCTCTCCTCTGTAAGTATTTTTCCTCTTCTCTGGGGGGCTAGCGGCATGTGACTTGAGCTTTCTCAAATAAGTCTGCAGAGTCTAAATTAGCTGTTGCCTTTACAACCTATGTTTAAAGGATCCCAAAACAAAACTGGGGGGAAGGGGACACACAAAACAGCACAAGCCATCTTTAATGTTATTATTAAATGGGTACCTGCGGTTACTTAAGCAGTCATCGAGACTTCATCTTCTTCCAGTGATGTCACCGCATTGGAGTATGTCTTAAGATGAATGCTACAAGAACTATGCATTCCTTGGGCATTAGCAATTAATAAGTGTGTTTCTGTCATGCAGTGATGTTTGTCCACGCTTCTCTGAGGCTCCGGAACATAAAGAACAAGCTGGAGAACAAGATGGAAGGAATAGGCTTGAAGAAGACCCCGATGGGCATCATACTGGATGCTCTAGAACAGCAAGAGGATAGTATCAACAAACTGGCTGACTACATATCTAAAGTGAAGGAGTAAGCAGCTGCAATGTGGCATTTTTACCTGTTGCAGGAGTGTAGTTGCTATTTACTATTGTTCAAGCTTGCTTTCGGTTTGTGTACAAAACAGGAAATGCATGTGGTACAGATTAATAGTTTCAGGATACAGGTATTCCGAGATCTTCAGGGCTCCTCTAAGAACCTAAGAGCAGCAACTTTTTTCTATTGTATAGCGAAATGTTCTGGTGTTTACACAAATACATACTAACTTAAATGTGTTTGCTTGTCTCTTCTGGGGGTAGAGGAGGATGAGGTGGAAACCTATGGAATGCAGTCTCTTAAACTGTCTTGTAGAAAATTTGTCTATTAAAAGTAACATCCCTTTCATCTCAGTTATACAAGATGGCAGTTTAGCCAGTTTATGCTGGGTAGCACCTTCAGGCTGGCAATGTTCAAGGTGAGCTAGAATGCATCAAAAGTAGGTATCTCTTGCATCCTCCAAATCCCTCACCTTGAGTGGTCTGTATTGAGACCACATTGCTAGCTTAACTGGCAAGCAGTAAAACTGTGCAATACTTGTAACGAATGTGGGTTCCTGTCCTCACCTCACATTCCTCCTTCAGCAGCTGGGAAACAGTCTAAATAGACCTAAGCATGAAGAATATATACGGCACTGTACCTCTGTCAGTTCCAGTAAAATGCACCTTTGTTCTTTCTGAAATCTTGATCTATAGAATCTGCTCCTCTCTGCCGGGGAGTCAAACTTCCTTGCAGACCAGCTAAACTATGGCCAAGTGTGGGAGGAAAAAAAGTTTTCAGATACGTTGGATGAACTAGGTTTCTACCCTATTGATGTTTTTACATACTGCTACATTAGGACTTACCTTCTTCTGCTTTAGTCTGTATAGGCTGTTTTGTAGATGGAGGTGTATGTGTGTTCTGGAGCGTGGGTCATCTTTTTCTTCTTAACCAAAATGCAAAGATATAAGTAAAACATGCATCTCACTGACTCTGTACTTCTGACACTCTTCAAAGGAATAAACTGGATTTCAGGTTTACAAGTAAAAGCAATAAATGTCAAGATACAGTTTTTGAAAACCCATTCCAAATTCATGAAGATATTTACCTGTAACAACTCCTGAAAGTGGTGTGTGGGATTCTTTTATATATTTTAACCTAACTGCCAGCTCTGATGGAATTATCTTGATAATAGCAGCTTACCAACAATAGGGGGGGAAAAAAGTTGTCCAGGTGACACTCCATTTCAAATATTCTTGCATTTCTCTTTTCTAACAAAGTAATTAATTTAACAAAAAAGTAAGGATCCTTAAAGTTGAAGCTTTTATGTAGCTTACCATGCTGTTTTCATAGTGGACCGTGTAGAAATCTGAACATGTCATTCCATTTAAGTGTTAAAGTGATCAGTATTTATTGAAAATGTCTGTATATTCCAGCTGAAGAGTCAATGGCCTGTTCCTCACTCGTAGCGCATGGTCTTTGTTTTTTGAAAACTGTTTCGACACTTAAAGAACGTAGTAGCCTATGACTTCATCATTACTGTAGAATTTTAAAAACTGCGCAGTTATGAAGAAAAATAAACTCCAGTGGTGATTACTGCGTACATTTATTTCAGGGTGGGAAAAGTGGCTGGAAATTTGAGCTTGTCTGTTTCTAAGGTTGGTGGAACTCCTCAGAGTGGTGGTGGGAGATCTGCTGTCACCCTGCAGCTCGTGCCGCAAGCCCATGCTTGTGATGAGCTGCTGCCTTTGTGTGCTCTGTATCTGCTTTAGTTTTTTTGAGGCATGAGGGACCTCTGAGCTGCAGGAATGTTACGGCCTTGCTCTTGCATCCTTACAAAGGCTTCTCTACAGAGGTGGAGTACTTAAGCATTTGTTCATGCTGTTTCAATCTCTTATATAACTCCACTTTACTTAACTGGGATTTTAAATTTCTTTTAATTACCTGGGAGGGATTTCTGCTTCTAAGCTTACTGGGATCTATGCCTTCAGCAGGGCTAGGAAGTTAACTCTACTGCAGTCAAACTAATGTGGCCTCTGTATCTGGCTGCTATGTCTTAGGCAATACATCAACTTTCCCAAGTCTGAGAAGGAGCTTTACAAGTCTGGAAGATGAAGATTTCAAAGACACCAGGTGAGAGATACAAAAAGGACAAGGATAAATGAAAACTTGATGATAGTGGAGACTACCTTGGATTCAAAGAGGTCCTGGACATTGCTGATACTACAGGACTATTATAATAAATGTGGGAAGGGGGAGCAGGGTGGGACTGGGATTTAGCTGCCAGAGGAAGGTTGCTAAGAGTTACAGGCAGGAGCAAGGAGAAACACCTGAAGGAAATCCTGGCCAGGAGCTGTAAAGCTGTGCTTTTTGAGCAAGTGTATCAGCCACAGGAAGGTAGGGGAGCTGCAAGTTAGCAAAGGGAAAGGCTTTGTTCTTTCCCTATGCCTAATAGCTTTAAATGGCTTTTCTTAAAAAAAAAAACACCACCAAAACAAAAAGCCCCAAAACAACTGGTCTCTTGTGGATGTATTCCACAGAGTATGACTTACCTGTAGCTGCTTTACAAAAAGGCTTGCAGCAAAAACATCTAATTATTAAAAACATCTAATGATTAAAAAAGGGGAGGAGAAAAAATTTCACAAAAATATTAAGGGAAAACTAAGTTGTGTATATGCAGGTTTAAACCAATCATATCCAGCCCTGCGGGGGATGAGACATGCTATTCACACCCCATACTAGGAGGAATGATGAGTTTCTTAAACCCCTGGCAAAGAGAGGGGTAAGGCTCATCCTTCTGCCACTTAAGAGTGGCATGGAGAGACACCTGAAAGGGCATTTCAGTGTGCTCCAAGGTGGCTGTAATTAAGGATTACATGATGGACAGAGGTGAATCATGGGGAATGAAGATTACAGCTCTCAAAACAGAGCATGGCATCATCTTTTGTATGCTGATCAGGTACGGTACTAACTAAACTATGTTCTGCAATAGAGGTAGCTTGAAACCATCAAGCCACGGTGTTTGATGTACCAGAGCAGTCTTTCTGTTCTGTGAGTGTCTCGTTAGCCACGGAAGTGCTGCACACATCTTACAGAGAGCGCTTTATTTCATTTCTGTTTCCTTAGCCTAAAAAATGAAGCTGTATACATGGAAACCAAATACATTTCTCATGGACGAGAATAATAAAGGAGCATGTGTGTGAAAAGAAAGATAAGATAAAGCACAGCATGTTGCTGCAGAATCTGGCAGCAGAAGGACAACGTAGAAGCAAAATAGTTTGCTGACAAACTCGAAAGACAAGGTTATTGATGCCTCTGAGAAAATACTCCCACAGCAAACTGGAGCCTCAAATCCACTTGGCAGACAGATGGCACTGGGCTTGTTTGATACCTGATGGAAAAGCTTAGCGCTGACTTTTCCCATGCCAGCCGTTTTCACCACACTTATAAAAGCGTGTATCGCAAGCTTTGTTCCCAAAGAGTCATATATACCACCTGGGTTCTGCAGAAAACATCTGCTGAAACAGTTGTAAGCAAAACTTGAATAGTCTTTATTCCAAGTTGTTTTCTTTGGGTCAGTCTGGTCTCTCACTCCAGCTGCTTTGGCAATGGCACCTGGACAAGGACAGTAAGTATTAGGAGGAGAAAATTTCTCAGTCTTATTTCCCAAACCCACTTAGTTTAATACAAACCTTCAGAAACTGTAAAAAGATCAAAAACACAACAGCTGGGAGCTCTGGTTGGGAATTTCTTTTGTTTGTAATTCCCCACCTGCTGTTTGCAATTCTTAATGGCTAGGAAATCAATTTGCAAGCAATGAGTCCCACCACGGAGCGAACAAACATGCAGCTCGGCTCACGCAATAAAACGCGATTTTAGAGATGAAGCTGAGGATATCGAGGTAAATAAGGAGTTACCAAGATCACACAGGCAGGTGAGAATAAAACCCTAATGCCCCAAATCCAAGCCCTTTGGCCCAATGACAGAGGACCAAAAAAAAAACCCCAAAAAAACAAACAAAAAACAACCCCAAAACCCCAACACATGTGTCCCTTGCTTCACCTTTCCGTGGGCTGTGATAGCAATTGTTACCCATATGGCCCATTTAGGGTGAACCACGAATTGATCCCTCTGCCCCAAACCCCAGAGCCCTCATTTATATAAACCTCCCCAGGATTTGGGAGGAATGGCTGGGGGTCACTATCGCTCCCCGGCCCCCGCCAGCACCCAGGTTTCTTAACCATTGCTGTGCAAAGTGAGGGCTGCACCCAGCAGAGCCCCGGCACCATCATCCTCCATCTTTCCGAGAGGAGGGGAGGCAGCAGATCCCACAGCAATGACAGACCAACCTGCCATCACAAGCACCATCTTGGTGCATACGGATAAACCGTGACCTTTACAAGAGCAGGTCTTGTCGTCTTAGACATGACACCTAAATGCAAGACCTAAACTGGCCTAGAAAGGCCAGAAGTGCCCTGAGGAGAGGCCCTGGCTGCAGCCAAGTCAGCCTGGCCAGCAGAAACCGCAGCCCCAAATCTTGGTTTGGGGGCAGAATGTTCACGTTAAACCTGGACCAGGGTCACCGCAGGACCTGCCCCTGACAAAATTTCAGGACAAACTACTACAAGAAGGACATTGAGGGTGGAGCGTGTCCAGAGAAGGGCAACGAAGCTGGTGAAGGGCCTGGAGCACAAGTCTGATGAGGAGCGGCTGAGGGAACTGGGGCTGTTTAGCCTGGAGAAGAGGAGGCTGAGGGGAGACCTCATCGCGCTCTACAACTACCTGAAAGGAGGTTGTAGCGAGGTGGGGGTTGGTCTCTTCTCCCAAGTAACAGCGATAGGACGAGAGGAAATGGCCTCAAGTTGCGCCAAGGGAGGTTTAGACTGGACATTAGGAAAAATTTCTTTACTGAAAGAGTGGTCAGGCCTTGGACCAGGCTGCCCAGGGAAGTGGTGGAGTCACCATCCCTGGAAGTATTTAAAAGACGTGTAGATGAGGCGCTTAGGGACATGGTTTAGTGGGCACGGTGGTGTTGGGTTGACGGTTGGACTTGATGACCTTAGCGGTCTTTTCCAACCTTAATGATTCTATGATTCTATGATTCTATGAAAAGTAATACGTGTTGCTCTCCTGAAGCAAACATCTTATAATAGCATTTGCCTATCGTAACTAATACGCTTTACTAGTATGCTAATGTTGAGTTTCTGTGGTTTTGTTTACCTCCTGAGTGAATTTCCTTTCTTTCACCTGTACGGATGCAGACAGGGATGTGTGAGGCTGCAGCCTCGGCGCTTGCTGTCATTTCCCTGTGCAAGCTGTACCTCAGTGCTGCCAGGGGAAACAACCACCTGCATCCCTGGAACGGCAGCCTGATGCGAAACGATATGCGGGTGTGTTTGCAAGCCCCACCAAATGGCCGACGTTTCGAACGACAGCTCCAGAGCACGCTGGGTGACTGCGATTCCCTCCTGTCGTGGCCACCCCTAGGCACTTACCGGTTTAAGATAAGCGACGTTACTCTGACGAATGTCGTTTAGTAGCTGATCTCTCGGAGTTATTTCGACGAGGGGAGGTGGCCTTCTCCTGGGAACTGGTTTAAGCGTTTTGATGACGTCCTTGAGGTTGGTTTTCTCGGCGGGTTCCACGTACTCCGGCACGGCGGGTTTGCGCTGAATCTTCTTCAGCTTGACCACTCGGAAGCTGACGGGGTTCTCTCTGCACGGCTGCTCGGGGGGCGGCTGCCTCGCACTCTCCTGCCTTTTGCTCAGAGACACAGCCGCGGGGACGGGTGGTTTCGGGGCCTGCGGGAGTTCGTGCATCCTCGGCTGGGGCAGCGGTCCCCCCAGCATTTCCCACATCCCGGGAGGCAACCCAAGTCCATTTTCCAGCATTGCTATCAACTCCCTCTGCTCTTTCATTTGCTGTTGCCTTTGCTCCTCTTGCCTCTTTTGCCTCTGCTTGTCCAAGTTTCTGCTGAGCAGGTTGGTCACCACCATCCTGGGCCCCGGCAGTTCGAAGTGGTACCCCATTTTAAGGAGGGTGACGTTGGCTTTCAGCAGCCTGGCGATCTCCATTTCTGCCTGGTGGCCCAGCATGCTCCGCTGGTTGTGAAAGCGGAGCTCCGTCAGCGTCTCGTTGTACTGCAGGCATCTCATGATAGCAACGATCCCTTTGCCAGAGATGAAGTTGGAATCGATGTTCAACGTGGTGATGCTCCTGTTCTCCCGCAGCATGTTAGCCAGCGCGAACGCCACGTTGTCGTCGGCCCCCACGTTGGCCAAGCTGAACGTTTTTACGTTCTTATTCTTTTTCATGGCATTGACAAAGTCTATCAGCATTTCTTTGGGGACGTTCTCTATGTTGTTCAGGTTGAGCTCTTTCACGTCTGGGTTGTTTTTTCGGACTTTCTCCAAACTCTCTTCTAGGTTAGTTTGATTTCCTGAAGGCCTGGCGCTTAGCTTCATGAAGCTGGTATCCAGTGCTAACTTTTTGGGGATGTTTAATTTCGATATCTTCTTTTCATTTTCATTTGGATTTTGTGTGATTTCTCTTGATTCTGTGCCTGGTTTCTTACCTATCTGATCGCTGATACGGTTCTCATTGGTGTAAGTCTCCTTTGTTTCCAATTCAGTCTCATCTTCCTCTTCCTCCTCTTCTTCGTCATCTTCCTCTTCCTCCTCTTCTTCTTCTTCCTCATCCTCCTCCTCTCTCCCTTTATTGCTTCCACCTTTGTTTGTCTCCCCAAATTGTGTTCCTGAGTTGGACAAGTGCTCATTTTTGTAATGTCTCTCTTTCTCCTCTGCTCCCGGCACCCTCCGGCCGGCTGCCTCGCCGCTGCCGCCAGCCTCTCCTTCCGTCTCCTCCGCAGCACTTCTCTGAGGAAGACAAAACCTCACAGCTGAAATAATTGAACACAGTTTTGTTACATTAACTTTCTGCTCAAATAAACACGTAGTAGCTGGATTTAGATACCTCTATGCCCATAAGTTATAGAATAATCCTTAAAAGTGTCAATGCCTGTAAGTCAGGGCTGTGCTGGCTTGCTTGGGAACGCAGGAATGATTGCTCTTAAAGTGGCTGCAAACCAGTTTCTCATCTTTGCCTATTAAATCAAATCCTGACAATTAAATCCTGTACATATTTAATGCCATGTTAAGGTGGTCCTTGAACCCTTCTGGGGGTAACAGTCTCTGATCCAAAGTCTGTTTCTGGATTTTGTGTAATTTTTATCATTTCCTTGACAAGAGAGACAGTTTGTTTCATGCCACAAACCATTGGAAATCAGTGTTAACCACTGACTGTTTGCTCAGCCCGGGGAGGAGTGAAGAGGGGACATCGTAACAACAGTGGAGTCACCCAGCATATGAGAAAACAAGGCCGCCTGCTCTGGTACCTGCAAGGGCATCACAGCTAAGGAAGCACATCGATGAAGATGAAACAAAATATTAGCTCAGTTTTATTTTGAGTCCAGAGATAGGAAACTTGACTTTGCACACAGGTGTTGCAAGGCAGTGGGGCTTCTAGCATCAAAATAAAATTAGTTGCAAACTTCCGCCATCTCTAGAGACCCTCCTAGCTGGGATTTTTATTTCAAGCATCTTTTTGCAGTGGGTCCTCCATCACTGAGAAATGCTAATAAGGCGCTAATAAAGATGAAGGTATTTTCCTAAAAGATTTGCACTAGTTCAGGCAGAGCAGTGTCATGGCTTGTGCTTCACCAAAAGTCAGACAAAATGGTGCAAAGCCACTCCTGCCCTCGGGGCAGTGGTTCCTATTTGCTGTGGAGTGGATGGATTTAGTACGGGATCACCCGACCAGTTGTGAATGCAGCAGACAACTCTACGCTCAAATTCTGGATTTAACCTCGGAAGTGTTAAAGATTGTTTCTTTGAGGGTAAGAGGGAGGGAAAACCCCACAGATTTCCCCCCCTTTCCAGAGGCAGCCCATGAAACCTGCCCTGGGATGTCCGTGATGTACTGTGCTGTTGTGTATTAGCAAAAACATTAGTGTTTAAAAAAAAAAACAAAACCAGTTATCTCAAATTCGCTTGGATTCAGGTATGGATTTGTTTCATCTGGCCAAGTTTCCATTCTGTTAACCTATTTTTAAGTGTGGCCCTCATCCTGAAAATTATCTAAGTATGACCTTAACTTTATTTCAAAGTCATAGAGATAGTAGAATAAATTTAAGTACTGTATTGAAAAGGATTGGACTAGCTCATGGAGTTTGCATGCTTGGGCGTTAGTGAACGTTTCACATTGTTAAAATGCAGTGGTTTTGGGTTTTGTCCAGTGTGACATTAAATTCTGTCAATTAATTAGTTTAATACATATTATTAATGTAGTCTTCTATGGAAAAGCAGTATGGTGGTGTTCCATATGCAAAGTCAAACAAATTTGAGTTACATCCTCCAAACTGATTTTATGACCATTTCTCAGTGGTTTGCTTTACTGAAACAGAATTAGGATTTTCTTATATTAAAAAGCTTAAGTAAATATTTAGGAAAAGCAATTAAAAAATTACTAACCCTGAAGTCAGTCCAAGCTGGATCCTGACATTGCTGAGGCTTTTAGGATTAATTTAAATTTGTTTGTACCGTACCTTACGTAAGGGACGGAAGCAGAGGCAGGTTAAGGTATTAAAGCTATAAAACAAATCCCACAGCAGATGCATAATAAATATTTGTGATTTTTTGCTTGTTACCTCAGAGGGCAAGAGGGTGACGGGAACTCTCTCGTCCTCGAGCATGCGTCTAGATGCCTTCTGCCAGTACAGGTAGTCAACCAGGGACCTGTGGTCGAAGCTGCCCGTGGGGGGTTTCTCCGTCTGATCCCTCTGTATCATCCCAGTTGGGACTTCGGGGTCTGGGGCCATGACTTCCATCTCACACTGCAGCTCCTTCAGCTCCTCGGGGGACAGGTTTGCCAGGATTTCATCTTCATCAATGTCCTCAGGACACATGTCCTCGTCAGAGTTTTGGCTGAGTTCAGACATGTTCTTTCTTCTCTCCTTCCTCTATTACTTTTTAAGCCAAAAGAGAAAGATAAATTTGAAAAGATTTTTTTTTTCCCCCCTTCACTAGCAGTCGTTCATTCGGTTAAATCAACAACTTCATGTTTTGGTCATGAGCTGTGGCAGCTCTCAGTCTCAGTGCGGGAGACAGACCGTGCAGCTAAGTCTATATTAAGCTGCACTTGGCTGGATAAAGAGAATTTATGGCGATGCTGCCATGCTCCATTTTCAGCAACCTGTCAGCTGTGCAAACCCTTCTGACATTTCAGTGCAGCTGGTGCGTCCCCCATTGAGTAAGGCAGGAGACGGCCATTTTCTAGAGCATTCCTGGGGCACCACGCCTTTCAGTGCTTCACCCCGTGCTCGAATCGCCGAGGTGGCTGGAGTGACTTTAATGGTACCTGGGAGGTGTGCAGGTGAAATTCTGCACCGTGGGAAGAGGCAGCACAAGGTCTCTGTATCCACACTGTCTCAGATCTCTCAAAAGGGCCGGGGGCTGCAGGCTCTTCGCTGCCTTTCGCCAGGTCTAAACCCTGACTGAATATCGCAGGTGGTTTTGGTGCGAGTGCAGCCATCGCACAACTGATGAGCTCTCCCAAACGCCAGACCCTGGTTAAGGTAAAATCCTCCAAGATGGGAAAAAGGCAGGTGAACAGTTGGTACAACACCCACCTTGTGCTCGGGGACAGGGGTCCTTGCGGGGACGGGCACCAGCCCTTTGAACCAGCCCGAGCAGTCCCATAGGGAGCATTTCCCCATCGCGTTTCCCTGCTCCCATCCAGTCTGCCTGGGGACAATGCCAATTCCCTGTTTCTTGACTGGCCTGTCTCTATCATGGACATTATTTGCACCGTCAACAGATCTTGGCTGACAGTTCACCTCAGGTTCATCCTTCTCCTACTTTTTACCATTTTTTTTTTTTTACAGAATTAATAAGCAACTACAAAGATTTACCTTGCTAATATTAGTAGAACTGATGTAACTATAGAAGATTACTTGAAATCCTTTTTTTCATTAGGTGCCCATTCCAGCTAAGAAGTACCTCCTTCTTTGTTCAGAATATTTTATAGGCTTCTAAATTTACACGGCAAACCAGAAAGCCGTAGCTCCAACACCACTGTGCTCATGGCTGCTTTGTAAAAGCGAAGTAGCATGTGCGGGTAATTTTTCCACTACAGTGCAATTTCAGTACACCGCAGTTTAAATTAGGAAGATTCGTTGGATTAGGAAGATTTCCTCTCATAATTTCAAATATTCTTTGCAGGGGGTATTGAATCAAATCCTCTTGCAACTGTGAATGCATCTTTCATAGGAAAGAAACCACAGACAAGAGGCTGTGAAACCAAGCCCCACCAATTTTTAAGCCATATTTCTCGTTACAGTCTCAACCACGCTTTGCTGGAGTCTACGAGCAGCAAAATAGTCTCTGCGTGACGATGGTCTCTCTTTGCTGTGTTTTGTAACATGAATCATGGTGTTCAAAGCCCTGTTAACCTCTATTAAAGAGCCATTATCCGAACGTCCTCATTTAATTAATGCTGTTACACAGGGGGGAAGAGGGCAAACATTTAAGAATGAAATAAGTCGTAAAGGAAAAAATAACAAAAACCCGAGCCAAGAACGTAACGGCTCCGTTTGCCCCTTTGGTATTTCAGGGGACATCCTTATTTTATATTATGCAGTAGCAAGCACAACAGCAGACCCACACATCAATCTATCTGGTCTAGCAGTTTTAACCCCCAGTGACTGCTGTCCATAATAGAGTCCATAAATGGTTTCCTGATGTTATCAAATAAATCAGTGCTCTTTGGTAGCTGGTATGTTATTCTCCCAAACGATGCTGTTTGGGTCACAGAAGCTGCCTATTCAGTGGTTACTTATCACTTGCTAATTTCTTGACTGTAAATAAAGCCCCTGGCCACCTTCTTGTATTTCCATGATCTTCAGCCAGGCCATCTTGGGCCACGGTCTTGTCAGATCTGCTAAGTTAAGTAGGGTCAAACCCATGAAGTCTTTGAGAAGGAAAACAGGGATACTGAGAATACTATCAGGTATTTGAAAAGCAAGTTTTCTTCTAATTAGAAATATATCACTTGTCAATAGCACAATTAGGAAACACTATACTTCTGGGAGCGATGCCTTCTCCGTCAGATGCAGAGCGAAGGGCTGCCTGGTGACACGTCTCCCAGTGACACAGGTGCTAATCCCACAGATTTCCAAGGTGAGTATCACATTTTGCCTACTTTAGGTCTCTCCTCCATAAATTACCTCGAGTTCAGGATTCACTTCCTTTTCCAAGGCGTCGCTTAGTGTTTTGCTGTGCTGGAAACGGCACGTTAAGGCAACAAACGACACCCTCCAGGCTGGGGACGCGCTCACGGCCAAATCTAGAAGTCTTTTCCAAGGCAAAACTCCCATCTTCTTCCCGATAACATTTGCGGGTATTGCCCTTGGAGCTTTCCAAAATAATCCCTCATTCCTCAACCTTCATTAAGACAGGAAAGCCACTTCCATCGGTAGCACTTGCTATTTTCACGCCAATTTGACACTTGCTCAGGAATCCCCGGACTAATAAGCTGCTGGACGAGGTGCTCTGTTACCAAAGGGCAGAGAGCTGTGCCAGCGGTTACGCTCAAAGCAGAAGCAGGAGACAAGAGGTACCTGCAGCAATCACAAAGCGATCCCTACGGGTAGCAGCTCAAAATTCATGCTGAGTAGGTACTTAACAAATGTTAAATAAAAGCGCTTTAGGAACAAACTGACAGCAGAAAAGTTCTGCCCTCGGTAATGAACAATTCATACTTATTGCTCACTGTTTCTAAGGCAGGTACTCACGTATGGATGAACCCCTGCATGAAACCCAGCACGCTCCCGTGCCTCGTTTCACTTCATTGATTTTTCTCATTTGTGCATTTCCGTCAAAACTTCCAACCTATCTCTCTTGAAAGCAAAAAGGTTGACAAGTTTTTAACTCAAATATCAAGAGGGGCCGACCCCTGTGTCACCATTTGACATGAAGCAGCCATCAAACCATGCTTCAAGTGCCTAAAACGTGTTCTATTTTTGAGGTAATTGATGGGACACATGTTGATGCCAAACGCTTGAGAGCAATTTCTATAATGTTGACTTTCTTTTTTTTTTTTCTTCTAAAACCCACACATTTATTCCCCTCTATTACCAATCCATTGCATTTCCAAGTGCCGAGGCATTAACTGGAACAAGTCGGAGAATGTGCCTGGGTAACATTACCTTGCATCGCTTTTAAGAAACTCGTAGGCTTGATGGGGCAGTCTAAAATTGACAAACAGTAGCATAGACCAAGCATGTCCAGCAACGCAGTGTAACGCAATACGGGGATTATAAAGGGTCAGATGATGGGATCTTAACAATAACAACCACTAAGTAACGAGAGCAATCATAGAGAGACACCCTGTGGGAAAAACACCAGGGATCACCTTGGGGGAAAAAAAAAACCCCCCACAAACCAACCACACCTCCAAACGTACAGATATAAATATACCAGATTAAGTTTGTTGCTTAAATAGCATAAGGACATCTGACTTTTGAAGTATTTGCCCAAGTTGCTTAACAGGGAGCTGCAAGGTCAAGCCCCTGTGCGAAGCGGCAGGCGCGGCGGTGGCTGGCGTGGGGACGGACGGAGCAG